ATAAAGATACACAGTAATCGAATGACAAAAAAACCTCAAAACTGTGATTGTTCATGTCACCGCCACCATCATTCCCGACGTTTGGAATCTTTTTAATCGTCTTCATTCGGTTTCAACCCACAACTTAATTTACAACCGTCATCCATCTCCAATTTCTCTCCCATAACAAACATATGAAAAAGAGTCAAAAAAAATATCCTGCCGGACAGCCCCCAGCGATCTCAATCAGAGGGCTGCGGCGAAACAATCAGGGCACCGGACGAGCCCGTTCTCGTTGCACTCGCCGCAGGTCCGGAAGCCCCCGGTCTTATCGCTGTACCGCTTGTGACTACCGCTGCACGCGGCGCAGAGAACGAAGCGCACGCCACTGCAAGCTTCGCAGTCGGAGGCAGAAGGCGGTAAAGAGGCGATACCGTCGACGAGAGCCTTGAGCTCGCCGGACTCGTGCAGGAGGCGGATCTCATCGGCGCCGCCAAGGCAGCGGCCGGCGAGGAATAGCTTGGGGAGGGTGGGCTGGCGGCAGCCGAGGGCGACCTGGAGTTCGGCCAGGAAGCGGGAGTCCATGGAAAGGTCGCGCTCGTCGACGGCGACGCGTAGGCCGCGGAGGATGGAGCGGACGACGCGGCAGTCCTCGAAGGTGCGGCGGACGATGCGGAGGGAGGTGAAGTATAGGACGAGACCGTGGCGGCGGCGGTCGAGCGGATCGGAGGAGGGGGCGGCGGAGGCGAAGGCGGAACGGAGGGCGCGGAGGGCGGAGGAGGCGAGGCGGGCCCGGTGAATAACGCGGCGGAGGGCAGGGCAGGCGAGAGGTTGGTGGGGGTCGTCGCGGAGGAGGGCCTGGATGTCCTTGAGAGTGGGAGAGGAGAAGGTGGGCGAACGGCAGGTAGCTCCGGTGGCGGTGGAGGATGGGGTGGCCTTTACCCACGGCGGCCACATGAGAGCAAGATGAAAGCAGGGGTAGAGAGAGAGAGGGAGAAGATGGGAAGGCAAGTGGTTTTCTTCATAAATAAAAAGGGGAATTCTCTATAAATAAAAGCCTATGTGTGAGCACATTGAAACTCAATTAATTAAATTACACTTATAAATAATTATGAACACACTGTGAATCCTTGGATTGAAACACTTCAAAATAATTGGTGTCTTCCTAAGATATCTATGCCTTAATGGATATCTATAGATTGATGTAGGTTGGATTAGGAATCCAATTAATTATATTTCATAAAATATTTAATATCATGCTTAATGTTGTCATCCATCATACTAATTTTGATAACCTTCACACTTGGCTAGTAACAATAATTTTATTTGACCATTAAACAACTTCCTATCATCATTATGAGTATAATATTATTAAAATTACTATTAAGGGATTTTGAGAGTTCTCCCACTTTTCACAACATCATAAAATGATGATAAGAGATAAATACTTTTTGTATGACCATAAAAACAACACTAGTCATTTTGCAACTTAACTTTATGAGTTAATTATTTTATAAATAATTTTTAGTTATTTAAGGTTCAGAAAAACTTTATTTGCATACTTTATGTGGATAAAATGAAATACTTTTTATTTCTAAAAGTATGAAAATAATATATTACATCAAATATTAAATGAACTACCAATCCTTATATGTTCAATATGATCCTTATACTATATTGCTGGTAAGCCTTTAGTCATGAGATCCATAATCATCAGTACAATGATGAATATTTATTTAATTAATATCTATGTGATCTTTAATGGTTAGATACTTTATTATTCACTGTGATTTTAATTTGTAGTTTCCACACATTCACCAAAATTTTAATTTGAATATCCTAATGATCTTTTAAATTTATCTCTATAAATTTCTATGTCAATAACATAAGAGGCTTCACATGAGTCTTTTGTCTAAAAATTTTAAGAAAAAGAATATTTTGTTTGATGGAGCACACCTAAATAATTACTAGCAAGTAAAATGTCATCAATATATAAGATCAAGAAAATTATTTTGCTTTAATGACCTTAATATATAAACATTGATTCACAATGTTTTAAATAAAATGGAAATAAATAATAATATAATGAAATTTAGTGTACTATAAACTGAAAACTTATTTTAGTCTGTATATTAACTTCTTTAAATTATAAATTAAATAAATTTTATCATAAAATTTATTATGATCCCTATTCAAGAATATTATTTTCACATATAAGAGTAAAAAATGAGTTATTAGAGTCATGAATGAATCATTCTTAGGAACAATAGAGAATGTATCATGTCTTCATTTTGAATAAAATTTCTTTTTTTTTTTTCTTTGATGGTGAAAGTCATGAATGGTTTATTTTTTTATTTGTAGTTTATTTTTTATTTGATTGAAATCTTGAGAACAACTTAGGAGTACGCACTCCTCGCTTCTATACTTTTCCTCAATAGTCTTTACTAAAAGCTAAACATTCTAATTATCTCTTCTCAAAATAAAATTATTGAATCACTCGAGGAAAGAAAAATGTATTAGTGCCTCAGTTTTGACCAAATTAGATCAAAATTAACTCGATTTTGAAGGTTTTCCTAAGATGTTGATAAATTCTAATAAGTAATAAATAATTATATTGAATTGCTGGAAGAAGCAATCGTGGAATTGAACAATCAAAACATTAGCAACCAATCCTTGACCCTCAAATAAACTCTAGCTCTACCGGATCATAAATATACATATATTTTTGTTCTTTTCTCTGAAGCAATTTTGGAATTTCCCCAAAGTCCTAATTAAGTTTAGGTTATTGTACAAAACATGATTTAATTATGATAGTTGTTTCCTTAATTAAGGTCTACACTTAATCCTTGTTTTCGTTAAAAAAATGGCTAATCACACTGATTGCAGCTCATTCATGAATGTGTTTCTAAATTAGAGTTATCTATGGTTTTATATATATGATTAATAGTCATGTCATCTTGAGCTTGTTATATACATACATAGGACAAAAAGGAGAATTAAGCACATCCAACTTCTTGGTTAGTTTGTTATTAAATTAGAGAAGGTGAAGAAAGAAAGAGGAGGAAAAAAAAAGAAGGAATTATTAAGAATATCTAAGTTTTTGGTTAGTTTGTTATTACATAAACTTTTCTAACGTATATTATTATTGACTAAATTGAAGTCATCTCAATTCGATCCACGTGAGAAGAAAAAATTGCTACCCAAACCGGCCGTAGTTTTATCGAATCATATATTCCTTCCAGCACTAGTCATCTAACGCACACCAAGAGAGTGCTGTAAGCCAGTAGATAGAAACAACAGAAACCATAGAATCATAAAAGGAGTTGCCATCGACCAACTCCCAGATGAAGAAGATAGGATACAACTGTCCTCCCCTGCCACGAAGAGATCGCATATCCAAGCAAACTATTTAGTCGCTTGAACTACAAGTTGTGCGTCACCAGCACAATACTCGATGGTTCGTGCTGTCAAAGCAATGAGACACTCACTGGTAAGCTTCCCTTTGCAAGTTCAGCAACAGCATATATATTGCATCTGCTTAAGTGGTAATGCTTGCTCATATGCTCTACCTAATTGGCACACGGTTGCATCACCGGTGAAAACCTTGGGCTTCAAGTTTTGGGATGTTTTCTTTCAAAGCAAGCAAAAGCTTTAGATTTAGATTCTGATGAGATGATTATATACTATTTCATGTAATTAACTATCTTTAGTATCTCGATATTTTTAAAAGTTATATTAAAATTCTTACACTTACAAAATATTTAATCTTGTTATTCTAACAAAATCCTCTCTTTTGATTTTTAATTTTATAAATTATCTTTTTAACTTTGTATAAAGATATCAATGTTTTATTTTCGTAAATATAAAGATTCCAATGTACCATTTGAAAGTGTGAAAATGAAGATACTAAAGATAGCTAATTACAAAAGACAATCTATAATTAACCCTTCTGATAAGGATAAAAATGAGCCATGTGAATCATCAATCTAAACAAATCACACGATGAAAATAACAAATCATTTTAAAAAAATTGTACACTATAACAGGATGATAATCCTTCCTCTCATCGAGTTCATAAGATGTCCTTGGTTTCATCTGCCTTTGAATTTGAACACAAGTCGACATGATAATCCAGAAGAGTATTAGCATTATTAGACCACCAAGACGACGTACCATCACATCATCTTGTGGAGAGCTTCGTTAACAAATTCGGAGCTGCAGCTGCCATCAAAACACTAATATCCAAAGTAGAAAGATCAACAAAAAAAAAAGTGCCCTGTGCCTTATTCGAGACATCAGATGATCCTCCCAACTGGTTTGCATGTTTTAGCACCAAATTAGGAAGTACAAATTGCCAACAAAAGCTCGACAAAGCAGATCAAATATGACTCGATGAAAGGGTCGAACAATATCTGCATACGGTACAACGGAAGCTTCAACTTCAATACAAGGAAATATTTTTTTTGAAGGAGTGAATCATCACCATATGACTCCTTGGCCCTAATTACATGAAATAAGTGAATGAAAAAATGCTCAATTATCTGAAAATATCAGCCCACAACAATATAGCATCAATGTGAACAAAATGAGCACAAATTTATCATTTCATCTGAAACTGCTCAATGCAGTAATTAGCAAGGCTCTCTGACTTAATTGAGCCAAAGTAATCATCCTCTAGACATGAGGACAATGAATCTAGGCAAGAACTCTATATGGAGGTATGATATTGACTTCTCCTAGAAACCCTGTCGAGAAAGATCAACTGGTACCAAGAGGAAAAATCAATGTGTGCTTTGACCAAAAGTTGATTTTATGTAATCGTCTCGATCTTATTATGTAGATACCTCGCTGTCAGGGTGCCAAAAACCTTTTTTACCAACAAGAATATGCTGTTTATAAAGGGAGGTGACCCAATGAAGAGAGTGTAGTATGGGACGCATCTTTTTTATCATCTCCGTGGTGTCCTGAATGAAAACCCATCCACCCGGCCTCAGTATACGATCCATTTCTACCACTACATCTAAAATGTCACACCTGAAAAGAGAATGTCATAAGACCAGCAATTTAATCACACAAGAAAATTTCATTAACTAAAACAAGATATTCTCAATTTACCTCTCTGTCAAATTCTCAAAAAGAAAAGTCGAACGCAGCATATCGTATGTCCGAGGATATGTATCAAAAGATTCACACCAGTCATGGTATATTCCAATGAGCCCTCTGTCAAAGATAATGTGCAAGGTATCTGGACCATCAATAGGTACTACATTCATTACCCAGAGAGGCCAGTTTACAAGTGCTGCTGCAAATCTGGACAGAAGAATAAATCTCTTAATATACCCCCAATATTATGAAAGAACTTTTAATGCACAGAATTTGTTAGAATTAATTTATTACACAACTATTTGATAAAATCCTCTGGGTGACAGAGCAAAACAAATACACTGTGCATGCATACATGCATACAGATCTAGATGAATATGCACCTATCAGAAAGATCATATAAGCTTACATATACAAATATATGCAGACAGATATGCGCACACAAAAGTGTTTGTTAGCCAATATAACAAAGCAATGACTTTGTTCTGTTCAAGGTAAGTTCATGCAAGATTACACATAATATACTGAACCATACATACCCTCCAAAGCCAGCGTTCATATCCATCACATTACGGATATTGGACCAGTTGATAGCAAGATCATGAAAACATACTTCGGTTACAAGCTTTTCCCAAAGTTTCATGTCGACGATAAACTTTTCTTCAGCATATTTGTTACTCTGTTCTTCTGATAGACTTGATGACTTACTATTAAGTCTGTCAGGCCAGAAAGTTGGCCAATTGTCTTGTTGATCTGAGCTTAAAACTGGGATCCTTGGGAGACAACTGTCAAGGGGGACATACCTGCAATTGATAGCAATTAAAGCAGTTTCAAACAATTAGATAATATCAAAATATTAAGAACAATATAACCAGCCCACAATACCATGAGATACTGGGTCTATTTTTCTCAATGCACAAAGGTGGATTATTTTCTTTCCTTTCCTCATAGCAGGTATTTGTGACAGGTTTCTGATATATCACAACTCCAATTCCTGACGCATCTGTAGATTTCACAACTGTCTTCCAGCAAATTGAGTTTGTCAATGCCACCATAGCTGCAGGAAATATATTAAAAACAGAACTCCTGTCAGCCAAAAATTACTGCAGAGTTTTAATATGCATGATAATGTAGTCAATAGTATTAGAATTGTTAAAAATAAGTCTGGCGAGTTTTCTTGACTATAAGATTACATAAAGGATCAGATGCCTTCTTACATTGGTAACGAAAATACTTACTAATCATGTGCAAGATATATCTTCAATCCTTACTATACACAACATCAACAAAACTAAGAACTGACAGTGCCTAACCATTTCTAGCCCTAACAGTGAATATATAATTTGACAAATTTGACAAACTTGACCAAACTAACCATTCCAGACAGCTTGGTCCCTTCCATCGTCACGGTAAACAGGTGTTGCAGACCACACAAAGAAACCTCCAGGCCTAAGAATCCTATTAAGCTCCATTAATGGTTTCCCACCTGCATGGACAAAGGAATCATATAAAAATAGCAAATGTTTTGTAGACTATATAAGGAGGTAACCAAATTGACCAAAGTCCAGCAGATACCATCTCCATCCCAGTGGACCCTACATCGTGCACAATGAATCAAGTCAAATACATTATCTGGAAATGCAAGCCTTTGAGTTCCAATTACTGAAAGAAAAGCAGGAATGCCCCGCTCTAATGCAAATTGTATCTGAGCTTCATGCTCATCTTTTGGGGCAAATGACATGGTAATGACATCCTTATCAAGCAAATATCCACCAAAGCTTGCAACGCCACAACCAACATCAAGGATAACCCTTGTGCGTCTTCCCCAACTAACAATTGGGAGAATCTGGTCAAAATGAAAACTATGAATGACACTATTTCAGAAATCTTGTTTAAAATATTTCATGACATCAAGAGATATACATTTAAAAAAAAAGCTTCACAACAGCTTTAGAAAGTTTGTCATCCAACAGGTGCTTTAAGATTTCCATGAAAGGATAAACATTAAAGATATAGAAATAAAATTAACATGAGAGAAGTTTAAAACTTGTTCATTTACCTCCAATGGTTGCCTGAAGCCATCTAGATGACAACATAATGGCAATAAATCAGATGATGCAATTTCAGTTCATACTTAATCGATTAACCAACCAAGAATGATCCTGAGGTGATAATTATATGGATGCCACAAAGATTCCTGTTTTAGAATGGGTTGGTTTCTATGCCAAAAAACTGCACATTGGAAGGGAAAAAAATATCCCAATGCTAAAAGAAATGCTTATCAACTAAAGTTGTATCAAAACTAAACCTCCAAAAATAAAACCAAAATTAAGTATTCATTAAGGAAAAAAATACAACAACAACATAGCCGTAAGTCCTAATTATTTGGGGTCGGCAACATAGATCTTTTACCAGCAGTAAGATCTATAAAATCAGTTAAGGTTTATATTCATGAGATTTAACATAGTTTTACGTTGGTTGTCAGTGACCTAACGCAACCCTCTATCTTTTTTATTCGAACTTCGAACTGAAATTGGCGGTGTTTCTTTAAGAAAAAAAATAACAAAAAAAAAATGACAATGGCAAAAGTTTTTCTTGTAAGCATATGGCTTCCACAAGAGATCCAGATGACTCTAGTGGGTGCATCATCAAGAGTAGGATAACTACAATAACACCATTGTGAATATTTTTTTTTCCAAGTAAATTGCAAAATGTTTTCATTTGCCAAAAAGCCTTATGATTTATTGTTTTTACGAAATCAAGGAAGTCTAATTAAAATAGCATGTACACATTTCTTGCATTGATAATTATAGAATATCTATTTTCTCAAATTTTGCAGAATTTAGGGTTTTGCATACAACATTTTCTGATTTAGTCCCTTATCTTAACTCATAGTGGTGCTGTGGTAATAAATGGTCGTTAAGATATTTCCATGAGTAATCATTTCTAATTCAAACCACTGTTCCCCTATCAGATATCCTCATTCTAACTAGACAGGTCATATTATTAGAGATATTTGAAGTAACATTATCATAATCATCAGCCAACCTTTTCAATCAAAATGGGCCCAGTTAATTCGAGAAGGCCCTGTGTCTCCATGGAATGGTTAACACATACTCATGACAGGATATTAAATTCAATAGGCTATAAGAATTTGAATTCACATCCTACCCAGGATAAATATGGAGAAGATAGTCTTGCCTCAAAAAAAAAAAACCAAAGAAAATGTTTGTTGTGGTTTAGAATAAATCATATTTTCAAAAACAAATAAAACAGAAGAGTAATAAGTCATGCAATCATTTTTAGTAATATGAATAGTGAATAGTGAGATGGTGCAGTAAGAGAGATTTATTAAGCAACAGAGACCTTAAAACTGCCTTAAATTCAACAAAAGATATTTTAAGGACAAAGAGTTTCTAGCAGGAAAAGAAAGACACAAAGAAAGAATTCTCAAGGTATCAAACACTTAATATATTTGAGTAACACACATAATGTAGATACATTTCTTCCTATTGGAATAAAAAACAGAATCTCTAAAAGACTGAAGATGCTAGTATACCTGCTCAATGAACTCAATATAGCTCGAGACTCCCTCTTTAAACTGAGTTCCACCTCCAGGGAAAACAAGATAATCAGCTGATTTACGCACCCAGTTCTGGTCTTTCTTATATTCAATAAGTTTTGTGTGAGGCACATTATCATACCAAATCTGCAAATCAAATGATAGTTAAATTTGTTAAGTATCACAGGAGAGAGTCTAGACCAAGCTACATTTGTAAATATATGAACTGATAAAAAGTTGGAACACCTCCTCTAATATTTTGCACCAAGTTTTTAAAACATGAATATTTAATGAGGGTCCAACTTTGTAGCATCTGAAGTTCTGAATCAAAACATAAGGATATTGGATTTTGTTAGAATTATCAAAGTCCACATTTGTATCTTGATAAATCAGCTTCTAGAAAACGAAATAATATTCTGAGGGTGGAAAAGCAATGAAAAAGCAAATATACACTTCAACCGAGCTGGTCAAGTATTCTTTCCATAGTACAGCAATGCGGCCATGAAATGCTGGGTGTGGAAATCACATTTTCAGAAAAGCACAATCTGTTGAGGCACACAAAGTCGTCGTAAACGTTTTTAGGAAATGATAGAGATAAAATATTTAGAACTGTGCATAGGAAGGAATTCCAGACCATAAAATTTAAACAAAGCGTTTCAAGAAAAAGCATAAACTGCAACAATTAGACAATATGTTCCATAAACTCAACTCACCAAACCATCTAGGGAATAAAGACAAGTCCATGCCCATCGATCATTAGTTCCCAATGTTACAGTAGACTCAGAGAGGAAAACAAAGAAAACATTGTGACTGCAGATGGTAACAATTAAGGTCTACCTAAAGGGAAAAGATCATATTACTAATAAAGCAATGTGAAGCTCCACCATGATCCTTGCTAGCAAACATATTGACCTAAACAACTAAAAGAACTATAACTACAAAGAAAAAAAACAAATCTAGAAGGAAACAGATATATCATATTCTTTGAGAGAAATAACAACTACCTAGCGCACATACTAAATCGGGATATATGGGGGGAAGAATATAAAATGAAGAAGAAAAGAAAACCGCCTGCTTACCAAAGAACCAGTCTCACCATGTCTCTGCTCTTGGGCCACGGTACCGGAATCTTGTAGCCCCGGGGCAGGGGCACGACGCACCTGGGGCTGGGCTTGGGGCAATGCCGCTCCCGGTGCTCCATGTGCCGCCGCGACTTGAGCTTCTTGATGGCCTTCCAGTTATCAAGGCACGGAATGTACTCGACGGCCTGGAACGTCTTCCCGCCCCTGCAAATCTCCCATCTAACCGCAACCCCCTCGCTGCCGCCATCATCGTCGCCATCGGCCGCCGCTTCTTGGAGTGGTTCGCCACCGGCGTCGCTGCTAGGGTTCGGACAGGGATTGGGAAGCGAGATCGGAGGGGAAGGGAGGAACCGGGCGGAGGAGGAAGAGGAGGAGGGGAGGACATCTCTGGGAAAGGGGAGGTAACTGGATGCATCAGAGAAGAGGAGGAGGAGGAGGATTAGAAGGGAGAGGAGGAAGAAGGCAAGGAGGAACGGATGGCGGCGCTCGGAAAGGAGAGTGCGTATCGACGTCGCCATTTCCTCAGCTAAGCTTTGTTCTCAGAGACGGCGATGGCGATCCAGGTGATGGGGTCGCAGACGGGAGGCGGATTAGTGGAAATAAACGAGAGAAGTTGACGAGCTCTGGTAATTATTGTTTTACGATCTCTCCGGGCCACATTATGCAATATAAACTATGTTAGCCGCGACCGTCATCGGCCCCTAGGTTAACACGTATCTGGAAGCAATGATATCCGCCAGTTATAGGCTAGCACGGAAACCGAGGCAACAACACGAGTCAATTCAGATCGCGGTAACTTAATATTTAATTTCATGTATATCCGATTCATCAAGTAAACTAATCATGGTCGCAGTGAACGTCGACACGTGGCGTAAGAAGACCATAAGGTATCTGTAGCCTGCAGACGGGGATTAGAAATATAGAGAGACGATTAAGGTCAAAATGTGACTGCTTATACATACATGAGCTGCTGATCGCTCTATTAATAACTAATCTCGGCGCACCTGCATTGAATTAAGTAAATACGGGTAAAATATCTCAGTTTAGTTAAACACGATTTACTATTCGGTGGTGATGAAGTAGAGAGTACAATAAACCTACCATAATAAGTTCAAGATGCAGAATGATGAGGTAGAGAACCAGGTGAAGAAAAGATTATAAGCAGGTAATTTAGCTAACCATTCCCCAAATAACGGCATCAACCAGAAGAGATTACCATAAACCTACCATAATAATATATTTGGATCTGTCTCATACTCAACATTTTGCTAGTAATCAGGCAACGGTTCATGCGACATTAGATCAAAGCCAGTACAACTTCATCATCAGCAATCAGAATTCAGATATAACCCTTGCTCTTTAAACTTTCCACTGCATCCTTGATGATTTGCTCCATGGATGTGAACTCCATACCCAATTCGATCAGCTTTTTTGCTGGGTTTTGAGCTCTTAATAGTCCAGGCTGTGTATCCTTTGGGAGTCTACAGACCAGAATATGAGAAGCTTCATTAGAAGTCAGTCTGCCATAATGAACCAAAAACCATCCTGTTTGGGTGATGATGTCAATTATTTGACAGATCCATGTTTTATTTTCTAGGAAATTATGATCGTACCTAGGGACCTTATAATCTGGGAAAAGTTCTGCGACTTTGGATGCAAAGTCACTCCAATGAGAAATGGCTTCAACGCACAAATGCCTTCCAGTGGCTGATGGATTTTCATATAGCAGAATGTGCGCCAGAGCAACATCTTTGACATGAACCGATCCCATATAAAAATCTGGATACTCATCGGTGCAACCTGTTAACAAACCAGGACGAAGTGTCATGTTTTTTCAGAGTAAAGCAAATAAAATTAGAGTTGCAGAACTTTTGCTGATGGTGATACCATGACTAGCTTAACCAATAAGATAACAGATAACCTGAAATAAATGCTAATAAAGTAATATTTGAGAAATTAAAATATCACCACACTAAAGAGAGACTCTCACAGAAAGATACGCCTGAATTAGACTAGTTTAAGAATAAACCCAATAAATATATCTGCTACTTCTGTAAGATTTCAATCAAAAAGATCTGTTCATATTTCTCAAAGGACAGAAATCAAATGGGACATATATCCACAGGCATATTACTCTGGATAGTCCATGGAGTAAGAGTTTGCAATTCTTGCAAAGTCATAAGCTGTAAATGATGAATCACCACACTGAAAATACTACTTTATCTGAGGGATGCAGCATGATAAGAGAATTAAGTAATAGACAGATGACTCTTAACACATTACACATCTAGCAATCCTAATTCAGGATGCCTTATAGGATACTTGCTATCATAATTCTTGCAACAAAAACAATGACTGTCTTTCTGTCTCACTAAGCTTTGACAAAAAGATAACAATGAGGAATTGCCTGTGAGATCTGGAGAGTTTCCAAGCTAAAGAGCCATTCCCAAATAAATTTGCTTTAACAGAAAAACATAATGGCTCAAACATCATATTTCAAACCCAATCATCATTACATTTGTCCTAATTGTCATCCCACAAGAACTGGAAACATACTGATCTGGATAAAAGATCCGCTAAATGGAAAGGAATAAACTCACAACTTGAGAAGGTTGTGTGCGGCAATAGATGAAAAGGATAAGAGCTAAATACAGCATGAAAAGTTTAGGAGAAAAAATCAAACAGAGAAGGTTTACATTTTTGGTTTAGTACCCTTACCAAGTATTGGTAGACCAGTATGTATGGATCAGCATGGTACCAATACTGCTGATACATAAAAAAATTCAGAATGGTCTAATATTGGTATATAGGCAGTACACTGACAGTATGCCATCAAACTGATACAGAATCCTCAGCATCCCACAAAATTGTAAACTTTGCAACTAGACACACTTTCCGATAGCAAGAAAGGACCATTCTCTGGGTAAAAGAATGACCACAATTATTCTCTTACTCAGATACTTTTTCTGTGATAAAAACAACCTGGAATTACTGTTTAATATGGATATTTTAATTCAAGATATGTAAATTAAAGATAAACAGGCCCAATACTTCCATTCAATAGGGTGTTTTCTATGACTCATTAAAGCATTTAAATATTATTGGAAAGGTATAAATTGAAGTGTTTTCATTCTCTTGGGATTTTAGTTAGGACTTCTGAGTTGATGCATGGTCTGAAAGAAGCTCCAATCTTCAAATATGACCTAACGTAAAGAAAGGCAGCAGCGTGCACCAGTCTCCTGCCACTGTGGGCTCAGACTACCATAACGCTGTTATACAGTAACCAGAGTAATAAAATAAATCAAAAGAAGATCCACCATTACGAAAAAGGCAAAAAAAAAGCATAATAACCATTAAAATTCATTTTTGGTGATCGACATCACAGTCCTCTCAGATAGTTAGTTGAAAGGAGCTAAGGATGGCTTCATAGTGACACCGGATGCAACTGAGTTTCGTAATAGTCAATCAGAGCTTTTTACGAAGTAAAACAGCAAGTCTAAGACTCACGTGGACTAGTTGTTCGTTGCCTAATCAGTGAAACTTTTTAAAAACTTCAAGAAGCTACAGAATGAAAAGTTTGTTTGAATCAGCTGAATGTAACCAGGACGGATCTCTAGCACATGGATGCCACTGTCTTAAGTAATCTAGAAATCATCATACATATTGAGAGAAGAGAATCTGTAGTTTTGTCACGGGTACAATACACATACTAAGTTAAAATCCAACTTTTGGGGTAAAAACAATCCAACTTTTGATAATACATTGTGTATTCACAAATGTTGTTGTGGAACTGTCAGGAACATGGATCCTTCACCAGAAATAAAGTGCAATCTTGGTATTGAATTGTACTTGTATGACCAGGATAGTTGTATATATGAGCTAACAAATGCAGAAAGTGGTGTCTTGCAGATGAAGTGAGATCTTGATATGGAATTTACTAGCAGATAAACAAGTTTTTGTTTCTCATTTCAAGTGAGAATTTCTTGTATATATTTTGTCCAACAAGAGTGCTGAAATCGGCAAATAGTTGCCAAACAGATGAAACCCAACACAAGTGAGTTAAGCACTTGAGCAGTGAATAGCAATGTAATGATCATTAGCAATTTCGCAAGAAACTACAGTAAAAGACCTTGAAGAAGGCGCATGAGCATGGTCATGCTGGCATTGATCGCCGGCGGTATTATGGGACCCATTACTGTCCCGGGATTGACCACCACCACATCCAACCCGTTCCCTTTGGCAAACTCCCAAGCCGCTTTCTCGGCTAACGTCTTTGATGCTGGATACCATAACTGGAGAGGACAACCACCAAAACATGCAATCCGCGAGATTTCGAACGATCCAATTCACAATCCAGCTAATTCAATCTTGCGGCGTTACATTTTGTGATCTTACCTCATTCTGCCGGCAATACTCGAGGTCGGTCCAACAGCTCTCGTCCTTCACGACATCAGCTGGCCATCCGGGGCTGGGAAAAATGGCAGATATGGACGATGTCACCACCACCCGGCCCACCCCGCTCTCCTTGGCGGCGCGGAGTACGTTAAGCGTCCCCTTCACGGCCGGATCCAGTAATTCCGTCTGTCCGAAGAGGAAACGAAGTAAACAAATCGATCAGTAGGGGTTGGAATGGCTGCGAGAAGGAACGGGGTGGGGGGATTTGAAGGGCAGATGTGGCATCGACCTGGGGATCGTGGACGCGGTTGACGGTGCAGGGAGAGGCGAGGTGAAAGACACCGGCGGAGCCCCGGATCGCGGCGAGGAGGGAGGCCGGGTCGAGGAGGTCGATCTCGAAGAGCTGGAGTCGCTCGGCGGCGCCCTCGAGGGCTCGAAGGTGCGCCGTCTCAGCCTCGTCCCCTGAGGAATAGATCACAAGAATGCTCCTCCAGAGTCATCTGTAGCTGCGGGAGTAGAGAGCACTAGGGTAATAAAAGAGGGGGTAGAGAACAGTAGTACCACTGACCGAGGTGCATGACGGTGGCGTGGACAGCGTAGCCGCGGTCCAGGAGGAGGCGGACAAGCCATGACCCGATGAAGCCGCTGCCGCCCGTCACGCAAACGACGCTCGACATCCTCCTCTCTCACACGGACAGGCAGAGGAGCTCGTTCTGCCTTGTGCCAGCGGAAGTTTCTGGACGAGTGAGTGAGGGTGATGGGTAACGGATCGGGTCAGTTCGGACCCGTTCTGATTGACATGTCATTTATAATAATTTTTAAAAAAAATAAATAAATATTTTCTTAAGATTGCTTGACATGACATTTATAAATCAAAGATGATCTCGGTATTCATAATCTTTATATTCTTAATCCTTTGATACATTTCATATATGCTATAGCTTTCAAAAAGTTATCTCTATTTAGACTGTTTCTATGCATGTATACTCCTAGAACTTCAAAAATGTAATGCAAATACAAGTCTTTACTAAATCTATGGTATCCCTAATTGTTCGTAATAAAAAATAAATTTTTTATTGACTTGATCCTTGGCACCTAGTTTTAAAGTCTATCATTACGAATTATATTGAATATAAAATCATTCCAAATCCTTTGGCTCAAGTTTCTGATATCCAAAGGATGATATTTGGACTGTAGACCATCCTCATTTTTCAATCTATTACACTCTTTTTCCCTTCTCGAAAAGATTATAAGATTTGAAAGCCCTCACGAGTGTATTATAATTGAGCATTTACTCTGAAATCATTTTATGCAATTATAATTGAGCCTTTGAATGTAGTTAGAGCAATATTATTTGGTTTAAAGGGAATACATTTTGGTATTCTATTATTTCTTAATTTGCTTGCTGAGCACTTTGGATAGATTAGAAAAATAATAAATATGTACAAATTCTTCTTGCTACATATATAGTCAAGGAGATGAAAGTGTTCAAAACTTGTTCTTTGAATCTTCTTTCTTAGCTTTTGTGTGGGGAGAAATTTTGAGGAGATATAATTTTTCACGTCCCCCGTAGTGTCCAAATGTAGAAACATAAATAATGAGATCTTTATGAGCTATATTGATGAATTATCCTTCATAATTACTATTTATCATATTTGGGTTGAGAGGAATCACATATTCAAAAAACAAAACTTAAATATTTCTAAATTGTATGGATTGTGATAGGAGACTCCAAGTCGACCACAAAACCACTAAAGATACACCTTCAAATCATGGTCTTTATTGTAAATTAGAATATAAGTGCTATCTTTAATATTCTTAAGCCCTCTTAGCGCTATTGGCTTTTTCTAATGAGGATACCATGGTACTATATATCAATGCTGCCTTAAATGCATCGATTAAGTTAATTTTTTAGGATCATGTCAAAAGTCTTTTCTTTGCTATCATCGAATGCAGAATGTCTCATCCTACTTCATAAATTACATACTATCTTCCTTGGATTTACTGAAGCAAAAATAAGAATTATTATTTAGTCGATCAATGACTCAAAAGTAATCGTGGATATCCTCAAAAGATAATCTAAAGTGCTACCGAGATGTTGGATCATCTTATATCAGAATAATTATATTTCATTGAGCATTTAATCATTAGAAATCTCTTTTCTTCACTGAGAGATAAATCAATCTATTGACTTCCTTACTTCTATTAGTTTGAGAAGAAAATTATGTTATCCCTCTCAAACCTTCCATCTAAAATATGGAGGGAGACTCATTGAAACTGTTACACAAAAGAGATAATATATTATATTGGTGTAACTTGGTCTGAACCTAATCAAAATAAAATTTAAAATTTTAGTAAATCTTTGAATTGGTCTTAGATGGACAAAAAAAAAAATTTATATTTTTAAAATTTAAATTAAAATATTATATTATTTTTTAGCTTGTGAATAGTATGAATATTTTAATTTCTTTAAATTTTTTTACGTTTAGCATCATTTGAGCTTCTAAATTAGTTTGAAATCTATTTTTAAAGTTTGATAAAAAAAATACTAAGATTTAGACCAGATCACACTTTTTTTTGAGTTATTCAAAATAATATAATTGGGTCAAAATTTGGTCAAAATAAGTCAAATTTTCATGGAAGCCTTTTAATTGGTCCATATATATTTTTTTAATTCTTGAAATTCTGATAAAATTTGATGTTTCCATGTAATGTTTTGTAACATTTGAGTTTCTAAATTAGTTTGAAACCTATTCTAAAAGTTTAATCCAAAAACACTAGGATTTGCACCCGATTTGCACCCAATTACATTGTTTTTAGGGGCAATTCCATAATAGTATTAACTAATTTTAAACCTGGTCAAAACAAATGTAAAATTTTAACAAACCTTTGAATTAGTCCAAGGTGGATAAAAATATAATATATATTTTTTTGTCTATTTTTATATATTTGATTCATAATTTTATGTTATTTTCAGTTTCTGAATAGTATGAATTTTTAATTTCTTTACATTTTAATAAAATTTGATACTTCCACACAACATTTTGTATCATTTGAGCTTCTAAATTGGTTTGAAACCAATTTTAAAATTTGATACCTAGTCATATTTTTTTTTTACTATTCAAAAACAATGTAACTGAGTTTAAACTTAGTCAAAATAAGTCAAAATTTTGTTAAAACCTTTGAATTGATCAATTTTTTTATTTTATTTTTAGGATTCTAAATGATAATTTCCATTGGTGAATAGTTTGAACTTTTCCAATTTCGATCAATTTGATGTTTTCCTAAAATTTTTTGTAACACTGATTTTAGGGTTTAGAGTTTGATTTTAAAGTTTAAGGTGTTGGGTTTAGACAAGATAAACTTTTCACTAGCGGCGGGTGATCAGCTCCCCCTCATCCATGAGGCCGACGTGTCTTCACATTCCACTGCTGCAACCCTATTGTTATACATCCCTTCACATTCCCTACGCTTCCATGTCTTGGATTATAAGCTAAACAGTTATTACGAAGAGATGCAATTCCTAATCCAAATTTCTTCTATAATTGACATGTTCCTAATACTGGCATGCATTTAAGCTATAAAAGCAACTGATATCTGCTGAAAATATCGACAAAAATGCACGTTAAGATGCAGAGATGTTGATACAGAAATAGGTCAAAAACCATTCTATAGCAGACAAATTAAGATGACAAAAGAATGTAACACCATTGGACCATGCCTAAAAAAGGGAAGAGCTTCCTCACAGGTAGATACTGAAGATATGTGTTCATTTAGAAGTGACACTCTCCACCTAAAAAGGTGGAAGAAGCTAGAGCAGCATCACGAAACTGCTCCTGTATTAGCCATAGAACTCAAATAAGAAGCAGACTACTGTTCCAATCTAAAGAACAGCAACCAATTCGATAATCAGCTTCGTTTCATCTAGATAGCCGGTTAGTGTTCTTTCGGCTCAATGGTCTTTTTGACAACTTGTCACCATGCAGTGTGATCTTCCAACAATCAGCTTGAAAAATGAAAATGGAACCCATTTTGGGAACAACTGTAGATCCAAAAAAACTCGGTTTAGAACATTCTGCCTTAATTGTAAAACATTACGGAAATGTGTGCGGTCAAATCAATAGTAAAAATAAACATGGAGGAGACTGTATAAAATTTAACCAGGGAAATTATCATTCATTTCGAGTCTATAACTAATACTAGCAAGATTAAATAAAGCTTTTTAACAAAATTTGAAGCTGACAACATTTATCTTCTCACAAATTTGAATCGGAATTCCAATACGACTGGCAATAAGTGCTTAATGAATATCTTAAATAAAACCATAAAATTTGTTACTGACAACGGAATCATGCTATTAACTAGACTGTAAGAATAAACCAGAAAAGAACTATAATCTTCCAAAATGATGCAAATTCACAAGAAATTAACAACACTAGACAAATATTGCCCAACATACATCAGGAGTGAATATATTTGCAAATTCAAATGCCAGGTTTTTGTCCGAAGAGCACCTAGTAATGCAAAAATTTGCAGGAACATTGTATGATCAACTTCCTAGAGGTCAAAGCAGGAGAGCAGCAATACAAAATCAAATCAGCTCCAATTTGTAGTGTTCAGAAAATGCATAGGACTCACGAAACAAGAGTCTGTTAAACTCATCAGAAATTCACTCTCTGTGCTATTCTTCACGAACCATATAAACTATTTCAAATGCTACGACAACTAAATCAAAATTCATATTATTCTCAAGGGATACCATTGTCAATAGTTAAAAGAGTTTGAAATCCCTTGATCAATAAATAGGGGCACAAGCATTTGATAAGACCTCTTAACCAAGAAATCAAGAAAGGATCAAGCACATAAGGACATAAATTTAATAGATCTCTTTATCAATAAGGTTAAGGATTTAATAGAATGCCTGATAGCAGTGAAAACAAAGACAACCTACTGGGCATCCTTTACGCTAGTCAATCTAATATCCGGTTCATGTGAATTAACTGTTACAACAAACCAGTTATCAACTTAGTTCAAGCTTTTGTCTTAGCCAGTGTGGCCATATAGCAATCCACCCATAAGGAACTTCCACTCAGAATTGGAACAGAGGAAAACACCACCAGACACATAGCAACAATTTGCAACTGCTTCAGCATTGCTAGTTCCTAAATGTAACTTGTCTGCCTCAAACAAATAAGTAGACTCTTATCCATCATCTAAAAAACTAATGTAACATAAAGAAAAGTTGCAACAACTGAGTTACTGAACTGATCAGAAGAGCAAATTTAGAAATATAAACTGTAAATACATTGCAACTGACTTTCAATTTTCAAGTAACCTATATCTTAATTTCTGTTCATGTCATGAATACCTTTCATGAGTGAGTAATATGATTAAAGAGAGATAAGAAACAGATACAACGTAATAAACATCATACTAAAATGCCATAATACGGATTGCCTAATCTCTTGTACTAAGTTTTTTTCATCAAAACATTGCAATGATATATAAACCACAAGAAACATCTTTTCACATGAATCAGCAGTCACAACTATACCTCGGAAGCAGTTGTCTTGTGTAATTATCCCAAAGGTCTCAGCAGTTTCGCGAATCATAATACCATTTATACCCTTGAAGGCAGCCGTTTTACATTCAACAACTAGATAAACCAATGGCAAAGTATCATCCACAAATAAGAGATAAACTACAATAGATTGAAATGTACAACAACTGTAGCATCATGCTCATCAGATATTTAGAGTTAGCAATGTAACAAATGCGGAAAACAAACCTAGAAGATGGGCACCATGCAAGTCTGCCATGAGAAGGCACTCCGCTAGCTGTTTTTTCCTGAAAGGTAACAAGAGAAACAAAGGAACCCCTAATGCTATCTACTTAAATAACGGTTGAAAAAAAAAATCAAAACTTTTACAAAACAATGGAAAATCTAATAAAGCTGACATGAAAGAGCATAATGATCAAGTAAACTGTAAAATTCCTTGCAAAGGTATGCATACCCCACTTCTTTCAGAAGCTCAACAATGTACTCTTTCCACATTTCATGCATTGGCTTGAAGAGATCAAAGCTGCAACAAGATCAACATGTAAAAACAAAAACAACTAAGGAAATAAAATGCAATTAGAAAATTGCAGGATGCAGAGGCTTAATTATACTATTCACAAAAATATGATCTCAAACAAAAAAAACAAAGGTTGATGCAGAAGTTATTATGATATTAGATAATCAAGATTGGGAATCATGACAAACACAAGCTAATATCAAGATTGTGATATTAGTACATCACACATCAAACTTAGATATTATGAAACTCACAAAATACCTGCATTGCTAAGAAGGCTAACATGTACTAGTTAGTACCCACAAGAAAATTCTACATAATACTCACTTATGGTACTCATTTGGCAGGTTGAATGATCCGCATTTCCTGTGTTGCCTCCTTGACATGTGCTTCTTTGACCGTTTTGAGTGGCTCCTTAAAGCCTTTAAGCGAGCATCCATCAAACTATCATCCTTGGGCACGAAATTATCCAGAAGGATCCAATTGTCAATTCTCAAGCTTTTGCCACGCTTTGCATATTTACTGCCCTCACCACCCTTCTGAACAATATCGTTGATGACTTTGCTCACAGTATCCCTTGTACTTGGAACCTTCATCAAGACTAAAGTATGATCTAAAAGTTCAAATTAAAAATATCTGTCTAAGTTTGAGGAAAAATTAATGCAAGTACCTTGAGATCGCTAGCTCGTAACAAATTCTCATGCACAATGCCAGAAATCTCTGAATAAACAGGGTGAACTTCATCTGATAATCATAGAAAGTACATATAAATGTCTTAATTATTAAATAAAAGGCACAATTGTATTTCCCCAGGAGTAGAACATGAAAAGATAAGGTTTTAGAGGCAGCAAGCAGAACAGAGTAATCAAAAGCCCTAAATACCAACTCCAAAAAATAAAACAAAAATAAAAAAAAGGACCTTTCTTCGACGAAGCGGAGGCGGCGGACGTCGTAGGGTGGCCTTCCTTGTGCTTCTCGGATTCACCGTCGCCCGCTGAGTTCGGAGCTCGCTTGGACTTCCGGCTATCCTGGTGATGGGGCTCCTGGAGGCGCCCGGCCTCAGCGGCGGACCTTCGTTCGAGCGAATGGAATCTTTTGCGCTGGTCGGATTCGGCGTCTCCCACCGGGATCCGAGCTCGCTTCGCCTTCTGGTCCTCCTGGTGGTCTTGGAGGCGCTCGGCCTCGGCTGCGAACCTTCGTTCCAGCGCCTCGAGCGCGCGTTTCTTACGGTCCGACGCGGCCGGCGTGCTCTCACCGATTCCGGAGGCCATGGAAGGAAGGGCTCGTGCGGCGGCAGAAGGCCGAGCCCAGGACGAAAGCGGGAAAGGAGTCGAATTCTTACCAGCGCTGCGCTACGAGGATGGGGCCTTGGGGAGAGAGAGTCGATGCGAAACGGAGAGGGTTTTGTTCAAGAATCTGCCTACCGTTGGATAACCGATGGACGGACTCAGGCGAAGCATAATTCCCTTGGAGAAGACACGAATCAGATAGCAGGTGCCGTGCACGTGACTTGACTGACTTCCCTGGTTAAGACGAATCCCTCCTGTAATCGTAAACCGAAACACAACGCTGCGCGCCTTCATGGATCTCTAATGATACACAATTAAAAAGAAGAGAGACGGATGGATGGGTTTAGAATGACTTCTCGGCCGCTTATCTTCCCTTCTCTCTCTCTCTCCCTCCCGCTTCAGCTTCGACCCTCATAAGAAGAGCTTATAAATTTCTCTCAACTTTTCTTAGCTCTACAATTGTTTTTGTTTGTTTGTTTGTTTGTATACAACTTAAGAATTTAATTTCAATTATAACAAGTATTTGTTATTTTAATTATAACTCTTAAACTAAAATTTTATTTTATTTAATCATAAAATTTAAATTAATATTCTAGCAGCCTCATCTAAAATAAAATATATAATAAAAATATGGCCTTTAGACTTTGAGACAATCTCCTTTTGGCATTACCATTGGAGTGCTCAAAGTCTTTCACATGACGTCACACTTAACATTGCCAATACAGTCACAAATATCATGCATATACTATTATTACCTAAATATATATTTTATGATATTTTTATTTCATAAATATTGTATATGCTTATGTTATCCGACTTTTAAAGTTGAGATACATACTTTTATATACCGGCACAAAGTTCTCAAAATATTTTTATTTTAAGCATAAGTGTTTGTGCTTTTTTTAAGTATATTTTTACAATTAAAATGCATGGTCTTTGACAAAATGAGCAAAGGATGTTCATAAACTTGTATATAAAATTAAATTATGATAATAAGCATGTATTGATTAAAAGAGACTTTCATATTATAATAGACTTTTGAATGAACTTAACTATGATAGAATATGATTAATACTATGATAGAATAAAAAATTAAGCTAGAGGATGTCTTAGTTGTAAATATATTTTAACATGTGTTTCTAAAAGATTTTTTTGTACTATCACTAGATAGAGAAATTGAGTTTAATCTAGATTTAACTTTGGTATTGAACCCTCGTGAATGTCCCCTAATAGAATTAAAGGAATTAAAAGATATAATTATAGGAGCTTCTTGACAAAGGGATTATTCACTCTAATTTTTCATTATAGGGAGCATTAGTTTTATTTGTCAAGAAAAGGATTAAACAATATGATTATGCATATACTATACAAAGTTGAAGGAGGTGACTATTAAAAGCAAATACTTAGAATCGATAACTTGTTTGACTTGAGATTAGGGTACCATCAATTAAAAATTATGATAGATGATATTTCTTGTATAGCCTTCGTAACTACATATAACATTTTAAATTTCTTATATTGTCATTTATTGTCCTGATAGTCTTTGTGGCCTCAATGAATAGGGTACTCAAGAATTATCTAGATTGTTTTATAATAATTTTTATTGATGATATTTTGAGATATTCACACTAAAAAGGCATCTAATAATAGTTTTAATAATTTTAAAATAAAAATAATTATATGTAAAATTTAAGAAATGTTAATTCAAGTTGATGAAAATAATATTTCTTGGGCATAATGTATTCAAGGAATGAATCTTAATTGATGCAGTGAAAGCAATTAGTAATTGAGATGAAGAGCTCTTTTGGGATGATAAGTTATTACAAATATTTATAGAAGAATTCTATAAGATAACATCACCACTCATCTACATAATAAGAAAAAATATCAAATTTAAATGGAATAATGCTTGTAAGAATAGTTTCTAAAAATTAAAAAAGAGATTAATTTTAACTCTAATTATTATCATATCATATGAGTTAAAGAGGATTTATAGTATATAGTGGTACATACAAAAATGACATATGATGTATTTTGAGGCAAAATAGCAAAATCATAACATATGTCTCAAGATAATTATTATCTAACTTGTGAAAACAAATATAGTTATTAATGCATTAAGTACAAAGTCAAACAATCTAGCTACTTTATCAATAGTTAAAGAACTCTGAAAATATAAAAATTGGAATTGATCCATAAAAACTTAATTGTGAGATTAGTAACTTTATCACTGTAGCCAATACTATTGGAAAAAAATCAAAAGTAATAGGTTAAAGATTTTTATTTGAGTTGATTAAGATCTAAACTTTAATAATAATTAGATTTCAATATAGATTCTGTATACTTGAGGTATATAATATAAAGTTAAAAGATTTTAATAGAAGGACACTAAACTTCATACTTAGTACACTCTAAAATAACAAGATACATGAAGATATGAAAAAACACTTTTGATAGCTAGAAATAAAGAAAGATGTGGAAAGATATATATAATTTTGTTAAGAAGTGTCTCTCACATACTAAATTGAAATTATTAACAAAACAAAAAAGAAAAAGTGGTCAATATAGATTGTCATATGTTGACCTAAGACGAAACATGATAAAATTTGGATCATTGTGGATAGATAAACTAAGACAACCTATTTTCTCCTTATTTGCATTAATTATATCATAGATCAATATACTCAATTGTATATCTTAGAAATAATTAGACTACATAGTGTGTCATCGTCCATTATGTCATATATAGATTTAAGATACAGGCTTTTAAAGAAGACTTCATAAGGTAATAGAGATAAATTTAACTTTTAGTACTGTATTTCATTTTCAAATAAATAACCGATATGAAAGAATCATTGAAATATTAGAGGATATACTAAGAGAATGCATTTTAGGTCTTAATAAATAATAGAGTAAATATTTATCTTTAATAAAGTTTGTTATAACAATAGTTATCAAGTAGCAATTAGAATGCACTATTTAATATACTTGATGGGAAAAGTATAGATCACAAATGGGTGAAAGAAAATATTTGGGATTAGATTTAGTTAGAAAAATAATTGAAGTAGTAGAAAATATTTATCAAAGGATCAAAGTAATATAAAGCAGACAAAAATATTATATAGACATTAGGAGAAGACCTCTAAAATTTGAGGTTGGAGATAAAGAATTCCTAGCACCAATCAAATGAGTTATGAAGTTTATGAAGCATAATAAATGAACTCTTTAGTAAGTAGGATCATTTAAAATTTTAGATAAAGTTAGTGATGTGGCTTACATACTAGTCTTATATCCTATATTAGCAAATGTATATAATGTATTCTATATATTAACATTGAGAAAATATATTTCAGAATTTTCTTATGTCTTGGAAGAATAACCGATGAAATTAGGTGAAAACTCAACATACGAAAAGTAAACTATATAAATTTCTAATTCAAAAGAGAAAGAACTTCATAATAAGAAAATCTTATTAATCTAAGTGTTGTAGACGAATCAACAGAAGAAGCGACTTAAGAGAGAGAAGAGAAAATGCGATAAAAATATCTTGAACTATTCAAGTAAAAAATTTTGAGGATAAATTTTTCAAAAAAGGAGGATCATAGTACCTAAGTTTCTTATCACATTTAATATACCAATAAAAATACAAATATCATGCATATATTACTATTATATAAAGATATATTTTGTGAAATGTATGCTTCATAAACATGATATGCAATATACTCATGTTATTTATTTATCAAATTAAAGTACATAATTTCAGACATGTTATGCACAAAGATCTCTGAAATATTGCTTCAAGTATTTTAGTGAATATATAAATCATAAAAGAGTGCTAAACAAAAAATATAATGATACATAAGTAATATTGAAATATGAACTTAGATTAAAAAATCATTATTATTATGTTGTATCAACACTAAAATTATATTTAGGAAAAAAAATAAACTTAAATTGAGCCTAATGAGTTGAGCCCCACTTATCAGGGTAGCCTAGTAAACATGTCCTTTTTAATTTATACTTTATTTTTTTTATCTAATCAAATAAAGCATGACCCCTGTCTCACCCTCTTCGTTCTTCCTTCATGGAGACTAAGTTCTCTAGTGCCAAAGAAAGAATAGGATAAGATAACACAATCCTTCTATAGATATAACTAGGATTTCAACTTAGCAATTTCATAAACAAATAAATTTAGAGGGTTTCAAATACCTTAGGGTTGAATTTATATATGTTTTTTGATTTTTTTTAATCCAATAGTTGTGCTTAAAGTTATGAGTTTGTTCAGTTGAAGTACTTAATATCTTTTATTTTTTAAGAAAATTATGTTTAAACCAATTCGAAACCCTTAAAGCTATAATTAACTTTTGTGCTTTTGATATGTGTTACAATAATAATTTCTTGAGGCTTTGTAGGCTTTGCAATTAAGTGAATATCATATATATATATCAAGATATAAGTCTGACAAGTTTAAACATCATTAGCTTACTTTCAATAAAATAGAATAGATGATGATAGTTGAATTAGGAGGGTAGTTTAGCCTTTAAATGATTATATTTTTGAGCTAAGTTTTTGAATACATTTAGTTTTATATATTTTTTGAATTCTTGAGAAAAGTTCTCATCGTAATTCCTCATGTGTAATAATCATTTCCATTAAATATAGTTAATACTAAGATCCAAATAACTTGTACAAATCATTATTCATATGTTCGATCTTTATGAAACTTTATCAAACTTTGAATCCACTAATCTTTCTCTATGAACTTAGTGACATTGTGATGTTCTTTTCTATCAATTGTCTTTCCCATGTTGCAATCTATATATTGATCGTCTCTATCTTGGTATATCCTTCTTTGATGGTTGTCAAGATTAAATCTATTCTTCATCGATTTTATTATCCTCTCTCTAATAGCTTCTTGTCTGTCTGATTTCAATCTAAAATATTTTCTCCTCTTGATTTACCTTGATTGTCTCTCTAGTAGATTCTCTCTCTACAATTTTCTCTTATATTTCTCTCTTTAATAGGATCTCTCTTGTTGCTCTCTTTAACAGGATCGTTCTCATGTTTCACTCTCTAACAGGATTTTCTCAGTTTTTACTGTCATGCTAATTTATTTTAGTCTATTAAATTTTAAGGGTAGAAATGTGGAAACAAGGGTGACAGTGGTCGTAGTTTGGGGTGGCGATTACGGTGCACGACCGGG